ATCCTAAATTGTAATTAAATTTGATCTGGATATGACAAAAACAATAAGAATATATTGTTGTGGAGATGAAACTTAGAGCAGAATCATACATCTCTAAGCTTACATCATTATTTTGTCTCTGCAAAGAAAAGCCTTTCTGTGTTAGGGATTTGCCTTGGTGCGGCTGGCCACTGATGTCTGAAATCAAGGCACATACCGAGGCCTCCTTTTGCAAACACAATCCCCCTTTCAGATCTGGAGCTGGGAGGGACTGCATGCCTCCAGTTTCACTGGCAATACAAGGTGCTCAGCACTCAGCTTTATCGGATGTTTTAGGGGTCAATTCCCAGAAACATAAATGGAATGGGAATGTTACACTGTGACATGAAAAATGGTAAGAAATCAAATTTTTCAACAGTAAACAGAATGGTGATATCAACACCTGACTTCCGATAGCACAAAATACAATCAAATTAAGCTACATGAATATACCGATGAAATTTAAAGTCCAATAAACAGGACCCGATTCTGCAATCCTTAGTCATGTAACTAGTTCAACTCATCAAGAATAAGGGATGCAAGACTGGGTCCTACTTAGCTTCTGCTTGGGAAGTCAGTGTTAATTCAGACAGTATCTTTTCTAGCCAAAAACATGCAGCAAAAGGAAAGTAACATAAACAAGGCTAAATGTCAACAGTGTTTGCAGACTTACAGACACCATCCATTTGTTTGTATTGAAATGACTAGCGAACCATTTGGCAAATACAGTGCTATTCACAGACCAGCCCTTTTCTCCAGCAACACAAACTTCACTGGATCACTGGCATTCCCAGTTAATTAAAAAAAGGAAGCAAGCCATATGAGTTTGGTTTTACATTGCCATGCAAATGGCACAGCGACATCCAAAAACACGGCTGAAACCCAAGCATGGGGCTGAGGTGCTGATCTGTTCAACAGTACAGCTTGTACACCACAGGCAGGCCTTGGACCTCCTAACTGAAATTATAGAAACCTCTTCAAAATCACCATAATGGGGTAAAGAACAGTCTGCAGTAAAACTTCCACATCATTTCATTCTGCCTTCAAGGTAAAGAATATAGTGGTTACTCCTTCAACTGCAGATCAGTTGAAGGACTTACTAAATGCTGGGTTACTTGAGTGCGTTACAAGGTAGTTTAAATGGGCAGGAGTTCTATGACTTGCTGCAGTAGGATGGTATTCCATTGCCTTGTAGCTGTCCCAGAGCTTAAACAGATTAGGCCTTTTGCCTCTCTTTGATACAGATTTTATAGTTTTAAAGAGCTGCAATAAGGATTCAAGTGAAGCCACCACAAACAATTAAAAATCTTTTTCTGTATTTTATATGTTGGTGGTAGTTCTGAAGGGGTTAGCATTATAATCTTTTTGGTTTTGACACCTGTGGCAATAAGCAATTTACAACAACTAAATTCACTATTTAAACATTGGGGTAGAGCACTATAATTATGTGACAGTAAAGCTGTAATAATCTGCCACAATTGATCTTCCCCTTGCCCAGCCCTCTTGTCTGTGCTGCAGTTCCACATTTGGAAGGTATTTCAGAAAGTTACAATGCTGAACATTTTAATAATTTTGTGCAATGCTGAATGCTTTCTGCTCCAAAGGAAACTGAAAGTGCTCAGCCTCTGCAGGCTCACAACTCCAAAGCTGCTACCAGACATCTAAAGGGCCCTGCCCTGCTTTCCTACAGTGAAAGAAGGGATAACGGGGTGGAGCCTACACAGAAGAAAACAGCACTAATTGCAGAGGAAAGCGAGCATGAATGGAAGCAAATTAGATTTACAGAGACAACACGGAACTAATACTTTTGGACATCATTAAGTGTGGGTTCAATAGCACTAATCCATCAAGCAACCAGCTAACGCCCAGGACCATCTCTGGCCAATAGTTCTGTAGCCTACCAGCTCTTCTTTGAAAGCCTATGCACTTCCCATGCAAAAAATGCAAGTAGGGAAATTTTACCATCCTAGACACAAAGCAGGGAAATTTAAAGGGAAGTAGAGAAAGAAAGGAATGGGTCTTGTCATAACTAGATGCTGTGCATATCACATGTAAATTAATGATTTGGAACATTATTGTGATACAACTACATGTATATGGGAAGACAAGCAGAGTAAGAGAGCATAAAGGGAAAGGAAAACAGATCTGCCAAAACTTGAATACAAAATAGTTCTAGAACCTCCAAGCACAATTTCTCAAATGAACGAGGGCTGTGAAAGCAGGGTAGACGAATGCTCAAGCCAGCTACCAAGGCATGGAGACATAGCCCTGGGCTTCCCCTCCATGCAGGGCTGCTGGCTGACTAGCAGCAAGGAAAAGCATGTCTGCTTCTCAGAAACTGCATGGTAGCAAAGATTAACAAGATTGGGCCCTAGGTATAGCCACTTGAGACTCCAAAACTAAGTACAGCTCAGGAGTAATTCTAAATTCATCAGTGGTGTTTTATTATTTTTTTCTGTTCTTTGACACATTAATGAAGGAAAAATATTAAAAATATTTGTGGTTTTTCTCAGCAGCATTTTGGCATGGAAATTTCTATATTATGCAGTAATTATGGTTCTTTCCTAATTGTGTCTTTCACCCATATAGCCTGAAGCTTGGTAGGAGCATAAATGGATGATGTGTGCATCAGCAGTCTCTCTCACTCTACATATAGAGAAACTGAGGACTGTCTTCCCCATGTGTGGTGACCTTCCAAAACAATAATGTGAGCTGGTGGCATTCTCCTTTAGAGATAAAATCCTTTTTGTGCCAAGATTTGTCCTTAAAACCTAACCCATTATCTCAAGGTAAAATCTGCCAACTAAAAATGATCCACGTGGATCACTGAAAATCCCAGCTTGTTTTCATGCAGCCAGAAATTTAACTCAATTAGCATGGCCAATCAAAGAAGCAATCTCAGCTAAATGAAGCTGAGATATTTTATTTCAATTTTATTTTCACTCTATCCTGACTGTGGAAAGAGCACCACACCTTTCTGTCTTGATTGTGCAAGGACTGTATCAAGTGTACCAATGCACCAGTGTTCTCGAGATGTCAACAACCCACACATCATTGGCTGTAAAAAGAAAGGCAGATGCACAGAGTCTCCCAAAATACAAAGTAACACAAGAATAATGCCCTGGAATTGGGTGCTGGAAGTGGGTCTCAAGTTTTCTGATCTCTCAGGCAGTAGGAGAGACAAAGGCAACCTCAAATAAGGTCATGGGCTTTGTGCAAGAGGGAAGGAAGGCTAATATACAAAGATGCTCCTGATAGCTAATCTACAAACACAGAAACATCAGGTGAGATTCTCAACACTAGCATGCACAGATAGAGTGAATTCACAGTATAAAATGTCACTGAGAACATGAAAAATCCCCAAAAATCACTACTTTCAAGTGGGCAGTGTCCAAGCCAACCAAATAGAAAATAAAATACTGACACGGGGCTTGTTCATACTTATCCACTTTTACTGTGCAATATTGAGAAAAATGAAATAATATATTTAAACAGTCAGCCCTAATATTTCTATTCTGCAAACACTCAATAGATCGTCAGTGAAGAATTTTAAAAAGCTATTTTTGGAGGGGGGAGAAAGGAGAACTCGCACTGCATTTTCCAGTAAAAAATGGCTTAAAAAGTAGAACAGACAAGTTTCTGTTGGCTTTTTTATCCCTCCATACTTCTAGTCAAATCCATTATCACTGGGCAGAGATCATGAAAGGGATACAGTCTTTAAAATCATATAAACTCAAGCCATCATAAAATGTCTGTTGAATTGATTGGAAGATGAAACAAAAAACTAATGGAAGTAACATTACCTCATTTCTATAATAAGTTTACAGGGTGGGTTTTTTTGTTGTTGTTTAAAAAACTTATGTCTGGGAAGGAGTATAAAGATCTTTTGTACAAAGCTACTAATCTTGGTTTTCCAATTTTTTACTTGTTTGAATATTCATTCTCTGGTTTTGGTTTTTTTGGTTTGTTTTTTTTTTTTAACTGGTTGATTGTACTCCGCAGCTAGAGGAAAAAAAATAAAACCCTAGTACCAGCTGCAAATTAAATCAACTTTCAGCTATTTCAAAACATCAGAAATGTAACTGCTGATTTTGAAGAATCTGGAAATATGTCCAACTCTCTGACTTGGTTCTTAGTTCACTGAGACATGGAAGTTTACAAGTAAGGCCGGGCAGATACTTGGGCTCCTGATTCAGTTTAAGTAATAACAATACGGTGAAGCCAAAATGCTCCAAGAATACAAATGAGATAAACTTTGTGAGGAGAAATCAGACTTCTTCATAAGACCAACTAATACACTTGGAAATGCAGCGAGGGGCCCGAAGAAAGGCTTATGGCTTTAAGCACATACACTATTGTAGTAAAGTCAAACAAAGCTCCTACTAACTTTAAGTCAACCAGGGTAACCACTCTTAAGTGTTTGCAGATTTAGGGTTTTATTTTAAATTGCCAGGCTTTAAAACTGTTGAACACATTTTCTCTTTTTTTTTTTTTTTTTTTAACTTTAATACATTTTAGTGTGCATGTTCAGCTCTGACAATGTTTTCTGATTGGTTTGAAGGTTAAGTGAAACAAGCATTACCAAAGTTTTTGTGATGCTTGCTGACTCTGATTTTTAAAGTGATACTGTTTTTCACAGGATTTGCATTCTAAAATCTCTTTCAAGCACAAGCTATGCTGACAAAATAGGAGATAAATTAAAAAAATAAAATCCTCATTCTCATTTGTTCCAAATAGATTTAACTTTCATTTTTGTCAAATAGGATATGTGTGTTATGAGGAATCAAGACTTCAGTTTTGTAAATCAAAGGGTAAATCAAAACCCCTTGTAAAAGGGGGTTTGCTTGTTTGGTGTGTTGTTGGTTTTTTAATTACCTGAAGGCATATTCTTAATTAGGCAAATCAAAATTCCTACAACTGCTAGTTAGAATAGTGAAAATGGTGAAGGTGCCATTGAAACAAAAAAAAATATATAGAAAAAAAAAAAAAAAAAAGGAGAAATCCAAACCAAAGCAAAACAGGCTTTTCACCACATGTAGACACATATCGTGCACTTGGCCTTTGATTTTGTTAATATTGTGGTAATTGAACACACCCCAATTCAAAGAAAAAAGGAAATAAAAAAAGGGGGGGGGAAAGAAAAAGCAAGGTTTGCTTGGCAAAGCGTCCAGTGTTTTTTTGTGGGTTCTTACTTATATCAAAATACTGAAAAGTTTGCAAGTTACCATGAAAATAAACTTTTTTCTCCTTTGAGTATGCTAAAGCAGTAAATATCCCCTTCATATGCACTAGCACAGATAGTCTATATTGCTGATACTCTAGTTTAAAAAGCAAGTTCTTTCTAAAATCTTGTATAAGTAAATGCATGCAGCACTGCTGATTTCAATGGAGTAGACCACATATAAGACTAGAATTTGGCCCACAGCATTTAACATTTAAAAAAATGTATTACTAACAAACATGACTAAGTAGATTTAAAGAGCAGCTTCATGATTCTGCACAAGTGTTTTCTGAAATGGTCTAAAAGAAGGTCTAAAACTTACCACACAAGTCAGGTCTCTTGATACATCCACTAGCTGCTGTGCTACTTGCAAGTCCATTAAAGGCTGCTAAGCCATCAGAGCTGTAAGCTCTTAGGACTGACAACATGTTCATCTGCTTCTCCAGGACCTGTGGACCCTGAACTTGCTCAGGTTTCATCACTCCTTGTGCAGTTTCATGGGAGGATAGAAGATTCTGACTGTGCCACTGCTTTTCTGAAGCTTGCGGCAGTGGTGATACGAGCCCTTGTGTTGGTTGTGAGGTGACTGCACTTTGTATGTTATCGCCTCCTTCACTGCTTTCTTTTTTTAGGGCAGACAACTGCTTATTCATAATATCTGGTTCTGTGTCAATGTCTTCATCTTCAATGTTTTCTTCCTTGGAAGATTCCATATCCTCAGATGAAGCTATGTCAGAAAGGTCATCAGTAGCATTTTTATTTACAGAGTCAGAGAGCAGAATATTTGGATCATCTTCGGATTGCTTTTTCATTTCAGATTCATTAGTGGTGCAAGAATTTTGTGCTCCTGTGCCAATAACACCAGGATAAACACCAAACTGCTTATAGAAGTCTGTTGTTGTAAAATTACAAAAAGTGGATTCCATGTGGCTGGGCCAGGCAGTGTTCTTTTGCTCTCCCAGGGTCTCTTTATTTTGTCCTTGGGTCATTTTCTCAGAAGCTGAGTCCAGCTGGCTCAGCATGTTTGAAACTGCAGCCTCCTTGCTGGACTGCACAGAAGAAGTGAGCAAGCTCACTTTATTAATCGGGGCCGGAGCTTCTCTAGATTGGTCTTTGTTGTTCCCTATGATGTTCTCTTTACGTTTAGCCTTGCCCAAGTGATTGGCCTGGAGGTGCAGAGCCATTAGTTCCATAGATGAAGTTGTAAAAGAGCAAAATAAGCAGCCGTGCCAGGCAATATTGTCTTGCACAGTGACCGATGTACCAGGGAGGGAGGCTGCATCTGGCCTTATGGATAAGTCAAGAGGTTCATATTGTGACTTTTCTGGTTTTCGCTGTGAGGACTTGCTGCTTATCTTTTCCTCACCACCATCTGAGCCCAGAGCTTTTGCTGAAAGTTGATCTGAGAGAGCTTTATCCTTCATTTCTTTTTCTTTCTTCAAAGAACTTAAGACAAAGCTGTCCATGAAAGCTTGCAAAGACCCTTGGAAGTTCACACCATTCCCAACAATGTTCTGGTAAGCACGGCCAAGTTCAGAGAAGTGTGCTCCTTTGGAAGATATGTCTGAACCCTTCACATTTTCTGAAGGTACTTCAGATGACATACCAGCTGCTTGTCCTTGCTGATCTCCAGAAGACAGCATTCCTGATGCCCACTGCTGTGAGACCATGCCACTTCGGAAATCAATACCAGGAAGCCCCTTGAAAGCTCCTCTCAATATATCTGGTCTAATAAAGACAGAACTTTTACTTGGTGTCTCATCTTTGTGTTCCTGACTTGCAGTCTGCCCAGAGAGTGGTCCTGCTCCATTTTGTCGCTCACGATGGTGCCGTTCCAAGTGGTATTTGAGGGATGCAGACTGAGTGCCAGCATAATCACAATGTGGACACTTGTAAGGCTTCTCACCTATACATATGGATAATGAGAAAAATATAGAGAATTAACTGTACTCTGGTATATGGATGAGTGAAGAAAAAAAAAGAAAAAAGAACATTAGCTGCTTGAAAACAAGAAGATCGTGGAGCTAATAATTCATTTTTTCAAAAAAGAAATGCCTTTAATTGAAGACTAATTCATAAACTGAATATTTCCAAAATAGGTTTCCAGAATGTGGGGCTATTCAGGGATGACATGGTATCTACACACAATTAGCCATCCTTTTCTTAATCTAACATGTAGAAAACTGTTGTAGAATTAAAAGCTATGATTATGAAAATGAAGCATAACAATTTCAACCACAGTAATCATTAAAAGTACAAGTTTAAAAAAAAAGAGCAAAGAATGTAACAAATGGATGGTTGCAATATTTTGTGTATACAATTGCTCTAAAATTTGTTTAAATTATACACATGGAAACCATTTTTAAACTTAAAAATTTTATGGCACTGTTACGCAAGACTGAAATGAATGATTTAAGTCTTGCTCTGCAGTAAATCATGGATATAATTAGCAAATGGCATACTGCACAAGTAATTTATCATTATTTGGAGGGCACCATTCCAGAAGGATTCAAAGATCTGCAGACCTACTGCATTGTTTCTAAATAAAGAACTATAAATACAGATTCTATAAAATATTAATATCATTACACTACATTATGATTGCAGCATATAAGAACATATAGTTAAAATAAAAAGTAGTCAATAAAATAAAAAGAAATCAAGTAATGAAAAAAGTACAAAATATATTTAGTTTTGGTATTTGAAATTAGTATTATGTACTAGTTTTTGCAGTCTTTTAAATTTGTGCTAATGGCATTTCTAATGCTCAAGTAGTAAAACGTGAAATTAACCTACCAGAAAAGCTTTTATAGTATTAGCTTGAATAGAGTTTTAAAACATATAAGGTGATTGTAATGAATTAAAGATATATCAGAATCCTACACTAAACTTTTAGTGTTCTTCCTATACTTTAAAAGAGGTAGAAGATATTGCACATATAATAAATACTCACATACAGTCATGAAGACATACCCAAACAGAATGTACATCTAAGCAAACGTATACCTAAATGTTTTCAGACCACTTGTTAGCAATGCAGAGTTCCTTTTAAAGGAAGAAGTATGGAAATCCTCTCTAAAAGTGACAAGAATCTGAGAGACCTGTGAACTGTCAGTAGCTGCAATTATTTCTATGAGGGATCTCAACAACAATTGTGTTTTCTTTTTTCTACATAGCTTTTTCCTTGTGTGATCCAAAAGAGAAAGGTAAGCCTTCTCCAAACAATATAATAGACATAATGAAATTGAAAACTCTTCCACAGCAAAAATGTTATATAATGATATGTAGTTCAGAAAACCAGCTGGAAAGTTACCTTTTTTCAAATAACCTCAAAATCTGCTTAAAACAAAACTAAAAGGCTTTCAAACTTCTGGTATTTAAGCTACAGGCTCAATTGAAAGGCTGGTGAATACTTGAGAAGCTGCTCCTCTCACTGATTGCAGGAATATACTGATGAGAGGAGACACCAGAAAATTTATAAACACTTACAGAATGGTTTGGGTTAGAAGGAACTTTAAAGAACATCGAGTTCCAAACCCCTGCCTTGCGCAGGGACACCTGCCACCACTGAAGTTGCTCAAATGACCATGTAGCGCTGTGTGAGCAGGCTTACTGACCAGGAACCTGGCTGGGTACTTGCTGCTATTTAAATGGGGCTGAAGTAAATTACAAGCAGTGGAAATTCTAAATCTATAATGTAATCCTAAAGCTAAATGGTGAGACATGAGAGCTTTAAATCAACATTAATCAATGTTTTTAGGGGAGAAAAGTGCAACACCTCAAACAAGGTGTGTTCAGCAGAAGAGTAACAATTAACGTGGCTCATGCTTTAGGCTTGCAACCACACGACTTAATAGAAGAAATCAGACTCATACACTTCAGTGCAACTTCTGAGTCTTCCACAGTCATGTCATTAAGTTCTAGTACTCCACCACCACCAAGTGAGGGCTGCATTTCAGTGGGAGCTGTGCAAAAACAGTTCCTCCCGATGAGCAAGAATCACTACACTCGGATCATGCCTGCCTGGGCTTACCCTGGTCTCAGGTGGGATCCTGAGCACTCACTCACCCACAGCAGGGGTTGCAGGGCCAGGACAAGGGGAGAGAGAACAATGGCTGTCTATTTGTTTGCATTTCTGCAGGGCTGCTGGGGAGGGTGCAAGCTCTGACAGCTATGCTGCCAGACAGAAATTGGGCAAATATTAATGCTGCTCTTACAGTGGGTACATACTGCCATATTTTTGAGCTGTTTTCCTTTATTCTGATGTTTGTCCCACCAGTCACTACTGAACTCTGACACAACTGCTGAAAAACAAGTACCAGACTTTTCAAGGTTAAAGGCTCTCATTTTTGAGTTTTCACTCCTCTTAATTGAAAAGTTCTTCCTCAGCATCCCTTATGCATTTATGGAAATCTTTAACAAAATTATATTGAGCATTTCCTTTTATTCTAATGATAGTTCAGTGTGTATTTGTGTTGAACATCAAATGACACCATTAAAAAGAGTGTCCCAGCATTGCAGGCGCTATGGTTATTGCTTCTGCAGGGAGAAGTTTTAAATATAGGCTGCACTGATGTTGATAAAAACCTGCTGTGCAAAGTGGTAAGTAGATGTAAAAATGGGTAAAGTGAGTTAGAATATCCTAACTAGATGAAATACTAGTAATATTTTATACTTATAAAGTACCTTCAGTCTGAAGAACCAGGCATACTCTTATTCTGAACTACTAAGCTTTGAAGTCAATATATTTTTTGCTCAAAGATCTCTCCACTGGGTGAGCATTCTTTCTGCAGAGGACATTTGGACACAGCTCATCACCAACACTGTAAGCATTGAACTGAAAGAAGACACTGACTGAGACAGCGTGATAAAAAGTTCAAATCTCTCCCAGCCTTGGTACGCTGCCTCTGTGGTGTTCCCACCTCTTGCATGGCTAGAAATGAGATCTAAAGCTGAGGGTCTGAAACTGGATTCAACATGTAGCAACACGCTGTGCCACCTTTACAATACAGGACTGGCCAAAAAACATTGTTCACAGGGAGCTGTTCAAAACATCTCTCCTTTCTTTTAGATCCAAATATTGGCAGTGATTAGTTTACTTCAAAGCAATATAAACTGCTTCCATTTCAAGGTCAGGCAGTAGGAGAAGGGAGTAGGATGGAGTAAATCATCCTTGAATCTTTTAAATTTAGTGTGTCAGTATTTCCTAAATTCAGCAATTGTACAGATATTAAGATGCTTTTTCATCCATTCAAATTAACAACCAGCTATTCCCTGTGTAAATGCCTGTACAAATAACAAAATAGAGGTAAAAGCTGCTGTGGGAAAAAGCTCAACCTGACCCCAACCAAATTAATCAAAATCCAAACCAATTTCAGTAGAAAAGTTGAAGAACCTCTAATTTCCAGGGTTCTATCAGCAACTTTCAATAGTACATGTCCAAAAATACTACAGGCAACAGGAGAGGTAAGCTACAATCCTTGTTAGAAGACCACCTGTTTGTATCTCATACTTTGAGGAAAGGTTTCAGAGAATTCATCCTTATGTAATGACTGCCCTGCTAATATTGCCAAGAGTAGGGTCTGGATGAGTTATTTAGCACTTAGTATTAGTCCACATAAATTAATGTTGCCATGCAGGAGTGAGGGAACATGACTTTTTCAAAATAATTTTCTGCATTTCATATCCAAGAGTCATTTTTCATTGTTCACAAAGGCAATGAACATCTTGATCTTGCTAATTCTCTGGCCCTGTTTGCATCCCTTTAAAACTTTTCACAATGGAGTAGAAAGGGAGAATATTCTAGGATGTACATTTTTTTTTTTTTTTTTTTATAAAAATCTTATAGAGAATAACTGATCTGGGCAACATCATCACATTCTGATCTATCTACTGCCCTGGTTTACAAGACATCTCACAAGAACTATTTTATATCAGGATGTAGTAAAACAATAAAAATTCAATGTTGATTGTAAAATCTACACAAAAGCTTGGTAGATACCTGGAAACAGACACATTGCCCAGCAGAAACAGGTCTATTTGTACAGCAGGTTGTATAAACACAGAAGTATAATCTATTCAAGCTATCACCAGTCCTGCCTAGAACACAATCTGATCACACTAGTCATAGGAATTATCTGCTACAGGCTCTGCAAGGAGACCACAGCCAGATTATGAATAGATTTACAGATTTTAAATCCAGAAGGGACAATTATGATCATCTAGTCTGATCTGCTGTACAACACAGACCAAAGGCCCTCATACGATAATTCCTGAATCAAATCAAAACTATAATTTGAAACAAAACTTACTTGGTTTAGTTTAAACATACTCTGTTTCAACCACAGCAATGAAGAAGAATCCAACATACCTCTAGGTAAACTTTTTGACTGGTTAAGTATTTTCTTTACTCAAAATGTGTGTCTCATTTCTAGCTCGAATTCATCCCGAGTCTGCTTCCTACTACTGAACATTACTACATTTTCCCCTGCTAGATTAAACAGATTTTTCTGAATAAAAAATGTCTGTTCCCTAAGGAAGATACTTGCAGACAGTAAATCAGTCACCTCTTACCTTCTCTCACTCTTGAGTGGAATACTATTCCCAATTTTTCAATGTCCTTTTAAATTACGGGTACCCACTAAAGCTTTGCTGAAATTTCAGCTCAACACTAATCTCACACAGTCCAACACTGGGTCTACATCCATAGCTATAGCAGTCAAGTAACAGCTCATAATCTGTTGCTTCTTTACCATAATCCTAGGCCCAGTTCATCAACGCCCCTAGTATTTGTTCCTTTACATTCTGCTAATTTAAAATTCATATCGTTGAAAAGAGCCCACTTGACTAAGTGACTAATCAGTGCCTCCCCCTGATTTTTAGCATCTTTACCCTTTTTGTGCCATT